TTAAGACATAAGATCTCTCTTTAGCAACATTTAAATAGTCCCCACCCTATCATTTGTTGAATAAATACTAAAGTTGTATGTCTGGCTCTTCCAAGTCACCTGTTTCCTTTCAAAACTAAAGGGAAAAGTCTCCTTTCCATTAATAATACAATCACTGTTCAGCAGATTTATAATAAACCGAAAAAGCTTATCAGAAAAGAAATGAAAACAGTACTTCTGGTATAACTGAATTATTTAAATTATCCTGATCCTGACACAGGTAGGAAAAGTAAAAACAAGTATTTCTCCTAATACTGACTCAAGAACATAACTGGAGCCTACATTTCCAGTCCATTTAACTACATTTGAAATTCAAAAGGTTTCCAGACACACTAGGGACTAATGGAACACCAATACAAAAACACTCCACAAACCCATTAAAAAAAGAAAAAAAACAGCATCTGACTCTAGTAGAGACATGTGGAGGTCAAAAACAACTCTGGTAAAGCTTAAGAACAAAGGCTAAGAAATTAAACTAATTCTCTCAAACAACTTACTCAGCTGTCTTTTCAGGTTTAGTAATTTTATTTCTCAACTTTATCATAAAATTACCAAACTGGCCCCAAATTTCCAGTAACTCAGTTATGCTGATATCCTGGCCAGGAAGTAATGGGGATGTTTGGAACAGTCAATCAACAAATGCTCAAACGTAAAGATTCCCAAAGTTAAATGTAAAAGGGTAATTTGCAGCGGCAGCTGGCTAATGGGGGATTCCCCCCTATTTATTTGGAAGACAGATGTGGACAAGAATTGAGTTTGCTCGTCATGAGCTACAGATTTTAGGAAAGAATGGTCCCTGTTCTTCCACTTCCTTAAAGTCAGATTTCTATCTGCCCTCGTGGTCTAAATTCAGAAACCTTTGACCCACATACCATTGCAAATTTGTCTAACTATATTACCGGCTGGAGAAAAATAATCCAGATCACCTTACTCCAAAAAAAAAAAAATCAGCATTTCAGAAAAGTATCTATACTGCCCCCAAAATGAGGCCATTAAGTTATATTTAATAACCAGGCTTCCCTCCCCCCCCAATTTCAGAAATGTCCTGCCGTCTTTGTGTGATACATTCTTTCTTCCACATGCATTCAAACTAGTTAACACCCCTCCCCACAAAAATCTGGAGATGAGGTGTGGGGATCAGGCCGTCTCCATTGTCACAAGTTTCATTTACATGCTGTAAGTAAACCCTTCACTGTTTAGAATATCTAATAAGATTGGGATTCCTTTAATTCCATTTCAGTAGCTGTTCTGTAAATACCTTCCAGGTTTTTATTTAACACCCCTGTCATTTGAAAACTATTTTATTATATATATTCCAATTACAGTAATTTAAAATCTCATTACCTTAATTTTATTCTATTGGAATGCTCATCAGTTTATATGACTGTCTCATGTTTTCATTCCTACTTTACAATTCTAAAACTTGAAAACATTTAGCCATTGCTCATACTTTAGCTTCACCTTTCCCATTCATTAAACATACTGCTACTGGATTAAACTGAAATAGGAAACTAGGCATGAACCATTTAAAACAAATCATACCCACAACTTCAAAATCTGTAACACACAGGCCATACTGGCATACGTGAGATGAAACAATCTAAACTGAATTTTTTTTTTAAGCAAATGGAAACAAAGCCTCATATAAAACATTAAAAAGGTCCAATCATTTACTTTCACAAGAGAATCAGATAAAAGTAGATCCTTTTTTGAAGTAGTATCTTTTAGGCACTCAAGAGTCCTTAAAACTACTCAAAAGTTCTTATCAACCAGTATCATGTTTGTGACAACTGTGAGAAAAGAAAAGAAAAGAATGTAATTTTATAAAGTGGGAAAACAGGGCATCTTTTGGGACCCCTGAGGCTCTAATCAAGCTTCTCAGAATTAAGAGTGCTTGGGGTTGGGAAATGGCAACCCTGCTGTGGCAAAAACATACCATTTCATAATGTTGTTAAAAGAGAAAAAAGTGATTAGCATGTATCTGCAATGAGGAGATAGAGAGACTTAGTCACTGCCGGGCCATTATATTCCTTAATTATTTCATCGGTTTATAAGTGACTTGATGATTAAGTCTTATTTTCAGATTTCCTCTAAAATAAGTCCACTGGAAGGGGATTAGGGGCTCCTATTCCTCCTGAAGTTTCCCTGCCAAAAATGGAGGATTACAAAGAAAATGCAAATCTACCCCCACCTTAAAAGTAAAAGCAGTCAAAGTCAAAATCTTCACTCCTCCCCTTCCTCCTCTACTACCCGGGGGAAAAAAAATTGAGCTATTATCCAAATAGATTCTTCAGGGTAAAGGGGGAAAATTTTTTCTACATATTTTTTCTAACTGGTGTATTAGTTCCTTTTTTGAGTAAGAAGTGAAAGGGAATATGAACCCAAGACAATTGCTAAACTTCGATCTCACTAGTTATTAAAAAACAGCAAAGGTCAAACTGCAAAGTGTTCGGAGGTGTTATGAAGACAAAAGGATTAAAAGAAGTAGGATACTAAAGAAAAGCATGTGTCCTTCACCAATAAAAGTCATAATCTTGTCCTCTATTTCCTCCTCCTGTAGGCAAATAAATACACAATTCTAAAGAACTAGCCCTTCCTCATCACACCAAATAATTAAAATTCCAAACAACCAGGTTATTAATCCTATTCTAACAATTCAAATTATAACTCTGCCCTGTAGCTATTGACAACTGAATTTTTAAATAAGAAGTCACTGCCTCTTGAATTTAATACTTATATAACTGATTAAAGATGGCAGCAATTTGGGGGGAGAAGGTAACTTCTAAAACACCAGGATTTAAAAAAAAAAAAAAAAAACCCAAACACTGCTAACAGTCTCCAGAACACTGAACAAAACAGTATCTAAAATAAACATGACTTCTCAGAAGGAAAAAAGTTATCTACCATTAAGGACACACCTTAAAAGTTCTTAGCACACATTAACTAAGCAAGCACAAACTAGTGGCTCAACTGTTATATATTTCAGACAAAAAGCAATGAGGCCATTACTCTGCACTTGTTACTATAGACACATAAAGACTTTTTAGAAACTCTAGATCTACTACTCATTCTCAAAGTATCATAAAACTTAGCATTTTAAGTCTTGTTTGATATCAATCAAGGCAGTCCATCCACTTCAGGGGGGGAAAAGTACAGTAAAAGAAGAACATTTTAAATGTGCTTCTTGACACATACAAAAGGGAAGGTAAAAGGCCTCCTAGGACCCCTACCTAGTGGCCAGGCCTGGCCGGCAGCTGTTGTTACCTCGCCTTTTCTTTTGTTGAGCTTAATCTCATGTCAAGTCATTCAACCAACTCAAAAGTGATGAAGACATAATTGAATCAACCTGAACTAAATCAGACCTAGGCTGCTTAAAACATACAGCTTAATGGTTCCAAACGATCTAGAAAACCAGCTACGCTGTAGTACACACGGTGGTCAATAATACACGACCCTAAACTGGCAATGGACCACTGCAACCGCCAGTTACTTAACACATGTTTAGGAATGTCCCAAGCTTCAAGCCCTATAGGCTGATTCAGAAAGATAAATTGAGGCTCAAGGAATTTGAAAGTGGAACACCACACTAAAGCCTTAAGTCTTGAAATGACTATCCTTTTCTTGGTGAAAAAAAAACAAAAACAAGGGAAAAAAAGATTACTGCTGCTTCCAGTGTGGACAGGATACTGGGGTCCCAGAAGTGGCCACTGGTGGGCCACTTTTTTTCTTGCTCCCGTAACTAAATCTTTCGGAAAACTCCCCCGCCCCCGCTCTCCCCACCCCACCCACCCTCCCAAGAATGCGTCTTCCCGTCTTCGGTGAATCCCTGAATTCCAAAATGTGGGTTCAAACCCTGGCCCTGGACGTCCTTCCAGATCCCCGAGACCAGGGACCGCCCAGGCAGCCCCGAATCCAGCCTCCGGGCCCCCAGCAGCGCCTCCCTCCCCATCCTGTCCCGCTCGCACTTGGGGGCACATCTAGAGTGAAGAGGGCTCTACATCTGAAACTGAGCAGTTTCACCACTCGGCGCCTCCTGGCAGAAACTTCCCTTTAAAAAAAAAAAAAAAGAAGAAGAAGAAACACACTTTGGGGCTAACATTTCAATCCCTCCTGCCCTCTAGAGTTCCTAGTTCTGCTTCCAGCTGGCTCTGAGTGTCTCATTCTCTCCACTAGAATGGAGAGTTGTACAGATATTCTTTTAAGAGTTTATAGGGCATTAAAAGAGGGCTTTCTTTTTAAATCTTTAAAGAGACTAAGAAAAAAAAACACCTTATCACAACATACCCAGGAAACGCAGCCCAGTTCACCGCCTGCTCAGGGATGGGCAGGCGACCCGGGGCTCCCAGGGACGGATTTTTGGGAGCGCGGGAGGGTCACTGGGGCGCGCCTGGAGGTCCGCGGCGAGGCCCGGCCCCTCCCGCGGCCCCTGTAGACGCGCCCTCCGCCCTGCCCGTATGGACGGTCCCGGCCATTGTTTGCGGGGGATGCCTATTCGGACGCATTGTTTTGGCTGTTTCCAACTTGCCCCGGCCCCTCCCGGGCCACCGCAGGGGACTCCGCGCCGGCCCCCTCCCCTCCGCCCGCCCCCCAAGGCCAAGTCGGCAAACGGGGAGACCTGCCCCGCGGAGCGACCCAACTTTTCGGAGCAGCCGACCACCCGCCCGCGCAGCCCCCGGCTCCCTCCGGCCCGCCCCGGCCGCTGACCGAGAAAACGGGGACCCCCGCGCCCCCGGGCCATTCGGAATACTTCCAGCGGTGAGTGTGACACCAGAACACCGCTGTACGCGCCGGGGGCTCGCCCCACACCTCCGCGCCGGCGGAACCGCTCGGGAGCCGGTGCGGAGGGGGCGCCCTGGAGGAGCGGCACGGGAGGAGCAGGGACGGGGACGCGGGGGTCCCCGGGGGGACGAGGTAACGAGGGCCAGGAGACTCGGGGGGCCGGGCCAGGGCGCCCCCTTTACCTGCGGCTCCGGCTCCTCGGCCATTTCCTCGCTCGGCGGCGGCCGGGGCTGAACTGACACCGCTCGGGCGAGCCGGGGTTTGAATGAGGAGGGAGCGGGCGAGGGGAGGGGGCGGGGAAGGCAGAGGGAGGGGAGGCGGCGGGGAGTTTCTCTCGGCCTTTTGTGCGGACACCTCCCGGGCTCCGCGCCCGTACCCGGCCCCCCGAAACAGACGGGGCCCCCGGGCGAGGGGCGAAGCCATCCCTCAGGGCGCCTCGGAGCTGCGCTCCTTGAAGACCGCCCCTCCGAAAAGGAGCCCCCCCACCCCATCCCACCCCCGCCCAGAAGATTTGGGGGCCGGGCTCACCTCGGGCGCGGGGCTAAGGTGAGCGGGGTGGGGGTGCGCACGGGGGCAAAGGCGCGGGCGCCCCCTACTCGTCCGCGCGGGGACAGTGCAGGCGCGGGGGGTCCCTAGCGCCGCCGTGGCGGGTCCCTAGAACCGCCGTGGCGCGGCGCGTCCGGCGCAGGGGGACTGTTGGGTCAGAAAGTGCTCAGGGAGCAGCTGTTGCGCCCTCCCTCGGCCCCGCCGCTCCGAGTCGCCCCGCCCCCGGCCTCCACCGGCCGCCGGCCCCGCCCGCGGCCCCGCCCCCGGGCCCACGTGACCCGCGCGGGCGCGCCCCTGCCCCGCCCACCGCCGTGGACCCCGCCCCCGGGGCGCGAGCGAGCGGACGGACGCGCGCACTCCCAGTTCTCGCCCTGCGGTTCCCGCGCACGCGCGTGCCTTGCCGCCGCCCCCAGCCCCGCTCCCCGCCTCCCGCCATCCGGCTTAACGTGGCGGGCTCGCGCCCCGGCCGTTCCACTGACAGGTACTCCGGGAGGGGGGGGGCCACGTGGGTAATGCGCAGGCGCAGACCTAGGTCCCTGCCCCTCCGCCTCCCTCCCTTGCAAGGTGTGCCCAGGCGAGGGGAGGGGCCGGTAGCCCGAACTCCTGGGTCACCCGGAGTTACAAACAAAAAACCTTTACACTGGTCAGAAGGTAGCTGTGTATAAAAAACACCTTTTCAGATTGTCTTCAAGAGTGAGGAAGGTCGAGAAGATGATTAAAATGTTTTTAAATTAGTATCTAAATAAAGCTCTCCTCTAATTGTGATTTTTTTTTTCCCTGAAAGGGCTGGGCTTGTGCTAATATAACTTGAGATTTCTAAATTTAGCCTAGGTTCCAAGAATCTACTTGGTTTTGACAGAAATCCATTTGGATGAAACCAGGCTTAAAGTGGGGACAAAAAAAAAAGAAGCTAGCGTTTCCCCCTCCTCGCTACGCCCAACTCACATAAAGCATTTCCCAACTGTTTTTTTTTTCCCCTGCTGAAAGGAAGAAAGACGAGAAAAGGTTCTGATTCCAAAGGGCTGTGATATTCCCCTATTTTAAGGAAGCTCCAAGGAGGACCCATAGACAACAACAATCACATCCACTAATATTTCTGCCCCAAAATGCAAACAAATGCAAACATGGATCTATACAAGTGACTACAAATAAAATCGCCAAGTATTTTTTAATGGCCTTCGGTGTATCCAAAATTGAAAAACTTAAAAGAACCTCAAGAAAGGCACTTAAAATATATTTCCCAAATCAAAAGAAAGGGTGGGGGAAGCACTACAAAAACAACCCCAAGCTTGTGAGCCATGCAATCCTTAATAAATAGGAAAAGGAATTTGAGAAGACAGCTTAGCAAAGGAGAAGAATTTGCCAAGTGTAATGTTTTGCTGTCATTTTATATACGACTACTAACCCCACATATGGTCTGGTTAGTCTTTTTTAAAAAGGAAGTGAATCAATTACTTACTCACACTTAATTAATTAGCAGAGCCAGAAGTGCCAGCACTATTTTTTTCACTCAAGTACACTGATATTGATCACTTTTAATACCACGGTTCCTTTTCTCACAAAAGATGAATACCTTTCTTTAAAATATTTTCTAGAGTCTTATAGTCACAGTCTAAAACACAGTCCAAAAACACACTCTTCATTAACTTTATCCAAACAAATAATTGACTATCGAGCCTTACCACATAACAAAGAAAGTATGAACAAGTGGAACCAGGTTGAGCCTTAACATAAGGGTAGCCTCATTCTACATGTTAATGGATAACCTTTGAACTCTGAAACCTTGAATGCTTTAAACACAATAATGTGGATAGTTAAAAATTCTAGTGTCAAAATTGAGCAGGAGAAAAGCCCAAACTTTTCAGTAGGAATAGGGAAACAATCAAATATTTTGACAAATAATCGTTTCACTAAGAACAATGAGGCTTCTCCCTCTGAGACCTTGTTGCTACTACTGAATTATTTTCTGAGCAAAAAACGGTTGTGCTTTTCCCTATGCCCTCACAAAGCTACCACTTTGTTAGCATTATAGCATCATACGATTTGCTACTGTTTCGCATCCCTCCCCCCAAGAAAAATAACCTTATTATGTTGTAGCTTTTAAAATTGAAAGATGATTGTATTAACTAATCTATCTGCTAAGAGTTTTATATGTGATCCTTATGTTTGAGCAAAGAATTACAAAGAACCTTATTCCTGGAGATGTGCCAACAAAACTGGGAAATCGTTGCAAAATGCCAGTGAGTGAATGCTGGGTTGCAAATACATACTGTGTTTTCAAAAGGACAGAGAGCAATCTGAATTCGCCGTGAGGGCTTCTGTGAGACACATTCTTTCCTTAGAATGTGGAGACTCCTACTTAAGATGTATTTGGAAAGCATATGTAGTTCAAACAATTAAAAATGGAAACTCTAAAGAGTAACAGGAGAACGCTAGGAAAGGTTGATTTTGTAATAAAAGCCAAGAACTCATATTATTGTTGTACGAAGTGAAAACTGAAAATCGGACGCAGGTCTTCACCGCTTAGCTCCACCCACGCGCAATCCTGCTTCGCCATCACTCCCGGGCTAGACGCTCTCTAACGCAGTCAGGTGCTACCAGACACCAGCAACGAAAACAAAGAATGGAACGAGAAGAAAAGTCCCTTAAATTGTGAGCCGAAGCTCTGCACATGGTGCAGAAAGGTCGAAAAAGCCCCACTTCACCTCTTTTTAATGCGACAAACATCAGCTACGCCCCATTCTTCACTGTTACCCAAACAGGCCCTCTTAAGACATATTTCCCAGTGTGTGCTTATATATAAAATCACACCATTATCTCTGATTTAATCCTAGTGGTATCAGGCCTCTTCGTTTAGCTAACTTCTGATTTTCCATCCAGATTCTGCCCGTCACAGCCTTCTCGGATCTCATAACATAACGAAAAAAAACCTCTGGTTTGCTATTATTTAACATGTATTGGAATCATGTTTTTTGGGACTTTGCCTTAATTAGAAGAACAGAATGTGGTATGATCATCTTCTTTCTCGAGTATTTATTTTACCGTGGAACTATTACAGAAAACGATTTGGAAACTGTGTGTAAATCCCGGGAGCTGAAATAGAGCCAACATAGATACTTAACATAAAAGAATTCAGTGTTCGGAGCAGGAAAACCTGAAAAACTGCAGTGAGGAGCTAGCAGGAAAAGAAAATGAGAAAGTTAGGCAAACCTGCCAGCATTTGCAAACTACAAAGGACATTTTAGAAGAAAACAGGGACACCCCTTTTAACTAGACTGAATGCACCAAATTAAGTAGGGATAACAAACAACTCAGGGAACACAGCACTTCTCGCTTTTCTACTAAGCTTCTTGGTCCCACGCAAGTCATCCTTCTATAAACTATCACAGTAAAACGATTAGAAATGTATGGCAGAAATTACCTTTCCGAAGTGAAGGCAGTGTCTGAGACTAGGAGTTTGCCAGTCCACCTGGCTCAGGACAGTGCTGGAAGAGATGGGATTGCTGGTTTTTAAAAGCAAACCAAAAAGGGAGGGGCCAAGAATAAGGCTCAATTTAAATAAAGGTTTAGAGATAATCCCATCTTGATTGTATTAGCCAATCTTGATAACGTTAAGTTTTAATTGTATTTGTCTCATTGGTAAGTTTGATGCATGCCCCACCCCCCACACCTTTGCAAGCACAATTTATATCTCCTCTAAAATTCTGGATAGTTTTCCAAACTTGACGTCACTCACACTGTTAATGTGAACTTCCTTAAAGATCACACAAGTAACATAACATTGCAAGCACCCTTTTAAAGCTTTCTGCTTTCGTCGGATATTCCGAATCGGGAGCTTTGGGATGAGGGAAGGCGAGGGAAGAAGATAACTGGCATTTATTGAAATCCAAGTCCCAACAGCTCAATAAATGGAACCGTCTTCTATCCATGCACTTACTCAAGCCAAAACTTCAAAGTCGAATTACAATATTTCATCTCCATCCCCCCACCCCACATATACCTTTAATCCATCAGCAAACCCTGAAATCTCTAATCTATCTCCACTCTGCCCATTTAGCTCCATTTCTAACGCGAGCCTACTCCAAGGCACACAACCACTCTCCCCCAGCCAAAGATACCACCACCGTGTGTACATACAGGTGTCTCTAAGCTTCTTCCATTCTAGGTTTGCCTTAATGCCTTCTCTGCCCATAACCCAAGAGATCTTTTACAGTGGATATCAGATCATCGCACCGCCCTGTTTAATGGCTTCCTATCCCCTTGTGGGGAAAAAGAACAAACTCGGTGGCCTGCCTCACCAGCCCTGTGGATCTGGCCCCTGCCTAACTCCAGCCTTACGTCTTGGCAAGCCCTTGACTTAGGGTCCTAAACTTCGGCATTCAAGTCTCCAGCCCCTTGGTTCCCTCTGCCTAGCGCTCCCTTCTCATTCTCTTCAGGAAATCACCTTCTGCTGCTCCTGAGAGTGGTTTAAACCCCAGTGTTCTCAGGTGGGGGGAGGGCAGGGAGGGACTCTGACATGGCATCCTGGTTGGAACACCTTTCCTCCAGTCACTTGGGCGCAAATACTCCAGTTCTACCCCTTGAGAGCTGCATAATCCTAGAATGTTATTTAATCTCTTTTGGGTTTCAGTTTCCTTATCTATAAAAAGGGGTGGTGAAGCTGACAGTTATAACTGTTTATATTATTTATATAAATGTTAATAATAATAAACAGTCACATT